CTGTAGGCTTCCAGGATTTGGATTTCCAATTCATTCTTCATGTCTGGAAAGTTTTCTAAAATTATTTCATTGAAGAGTTGCTCATTCCTTTGGTTTGGACCTCTATACCTTCCTCTATCTAAATAATTCTTAAAGTTGGTGTTTTTATAGTATCCCAGATTTCTTGGATGTTCTGCTCATGGTTTCTTATCAGCTTTTCTGAGTTGTTTAGGCTCTTTTCGAGATGACATATTTTGTCTACGTTGTCTGATGTTGTGTGACTTCTAATTGGTCTCCTCTACTGATGTTACTCTCATTTGAGTTTTTAATTTGGTTTATAATTTCCTTAATTTCCAGAATTTCTATTTTTTTTGTATAACTTCTATCTCCCTGTAGAGTTGCTCTTTTGCTTCTTTGATTTGTTTATGTAATTCATTGTCAAAGTGAACTTTCATTGTCTGCATTTGCTGTCTAATGTCTTCCTTAAGACTCCAGATCATCTGAACCATGTATATCCTGAAATCTTTATCTGACATTCCTTGGACATGTCCTGCATTGTTTGTGGTCTTTTCTTTCCTTTTCTTTTCATATTGCTTACATTTCTTTCTGGCTCTGTGTGACTGTTATGTTAATATTTTTCCCTCTATACATTTATATTGCTCTTATATAGTTCCAAAATCTCTCCTTTGTGGAGGAAAACAATGTTAACAGTTCTTAATATCAATAATACATCATCTATGAGCAAGTTTTCTTGATTAATACATTTATAGTTAGACTCTATATCTACAAATGTTGGCTTCAATTGTTATTTAGAATATAGTCATTAGTTTCATAAGAGGCATACCATTTCTGGTGGTGTATAGAGAAAGGAGGGTCAGGTGTAGGACAGAATGTTAAGGGGGAAAGGAGTGAGGGTGTGGGATTACTCTAACTTAGCAACTTTAGAGAATAACTCTAATGAATAGACAGGGGTAATTTACGGAAGAATGTATAACTTCAAACTCCTTATCTCTATTTAGAACCTTACCCTAAGTATAAATAGTAAAAGATAGGAGGTTGAAAGTAGGATAGAGGGAGGAAGAAAAAAGAAGAAATAAAAGAAGAGAAAAAATAACAAAGAAAGAAAGAAAGAGAGGGAGAAAGAAAATAAGAAGAAAAAAATAAAATAAAAAGGAGGAGTGAGGTGGGGCCTATGCAATTCCTCTATATTATATTATTCTGGTGATTCAGTTCTTAAAGTCTAATTTCATGCAAAGTTCTTGGATTCACATATGTTCAGATTGTGAGGACCAGAGGGGGAAGGGTAGAGGAGATTGGATTAGAAGAGCGAGAAACAAAAAGAAAGAAAAAGAGAAAAATAAAAGTCTCAGAACTCAGTTTTCATTTCTTCCAGTAGGTGGCATTGTCTATTCCTAGCTTGAGTCTCTGCGTTCAGGGTGGTGGAGGTAGCCAGTGTGAGAGGGCTTAAGCTTCTACCTGGAGCCTCTTTCTTTTAGTCTCTGAGTTGGAAACCAGGTGCCTAGACAGTTGCTCTTCTGCGTTGATAGCTACACCCCCAAAAAGCTTGTGGGAAAACTTTAAGTTATCAAACTGAGAGTGGGGGAGTTGGAAACCGGGTACCTGATCAGCCGCAGAACCATGCTGGTAGCCACGCCCGATGGATGGCCAGTAAGCTTTTCTCAGATGGATTCTATTTCCTGTGTAGGGTGTTTGGTGAGGTGGGGGTACTGGAGTAACCTTGTACTGTGTCCAGAGCTCCATCTGGTGACCTGCAAGCAAAGCCTCTGTTCTGCGCTGTCTTCCGTTTAAGCTAAGCAGGTGCCACATGGCTGCTGGTGGCTTCCATCTGCGCCGTGCCGAGTGAGGGCTGGGGCTTCAGGACCACAATTTTAGATCTGATACTTCCACTTGGTATCTGAGATGAAAGTTTGGTGTTTCTAGGCCTTGTGATATAGTTATTCAAGGTCTCAAAAAGCAGAAAAATTTCAAATAAATGACCTGGTGATATATTATTCATATATATCAATACTCCTAATAGAATGGTTAGGAAACTGTTAGTTGCCCCCAAATTAGCAACTCAAATCAATCTCCTCAAATTTTAAACCAAGTTTAATTGAATTTTCTGTTTCTTATAACTGAAAGCATCACAATCTAGCAATTTTCAATATTACAATGTTTAGCACCTTATTTTTAAAAACAGCTTATTTAAGTTTTTGACAGAAAATTTTCATAGTTTGGAGAATAAGAAAAGAGTCTACTGATCAACAGACCTTTCGGTAGCATAGTTACAACATGATCTCTGTCCTTATCATTTCAGGAAAATTGTGATAAACCTGTGCTAATATTTTGTTTTCCTACATTCTCAATTACATACTGAAAATAATAAGGTAGGAACTATCTGTTTCTCGCTTGATACCTTTGTTAACCAGCTGGGCTGATCATCATGGATGTGCATGGCAGGTCAACCTCAACATTTCAGACAATTTGGGAAGAGATTGTCTCAGTGGAAACAGAGACTGCTGACCAGAGGAGCCATCCAAGATCTTAGCTGTAATCTTTTAGATGGTTTATTCTTCTCCTAATATTTGCTAAACATTATCAAAGTTGTGTAATAGCCTCAATAAAATTGCTTATAACCAAATAAAGTCCTGGACTTACATCTTATCTGAATTTATGGATGAAAATATCTGTATGTAATATTGGAATAACTCTTTTAGCTTTCAGATTTAATAGCAGAGTGATTTGTTCCAGGTTGTGGTAAAATATCTCTCAGTGGAAGATTGGTCAGATCTATTTTAGACATAGAAGAGCTCTTTAGAATTTATAATTTGAAGATCTAAGAATTTTTTTATGGAGTATTATAAACTCCTTATGTAACAGTGAAGTGTGTGTGTGTGTGTGTGTGTGTGTGTGTGTGTGCATAATACTTTATTTCTGCAATCATACCATTTCATTTTTTTTTCTGTGATTTAAATTGGCCTTCAAGTTCTCAATAAACAAGACTCTGTAAAGAAGCAGAGTTCACCATGGAAAGTTGGTGAGGTTGTTGACTAGTGAGGTGTGGTGGATGTGGAGCAAAGGTGTTCTGGCCCTGTGTCCAGAACATTCAGGTAGTCATGGGCACACAGTTCTGTGAGTCCAGGTAGACCACTGGAGGCCAGGATCAGTGCAGACAGACATTCTAATCTTAGAGAGAAGAGATATGGTGACAATGTCCAGGAATTGCAACCCAGGTAAAGTCAGGAGATACCATAATCCAACTTCATATTTCACTGGAGGGGCTAGGAAGAATTTTAATAGTAACTGGAGAAACAGCAGAGAAGACTGAGGGCTCTCAGTGATGTTTATGGCTCTGAGTAAAAGCAGTTGGGAGAGGGCTGGTTTTCTGCCAGAAAATTCTTTATCTTTAATTTTCAGGGATAGAGCTTTTTACCTGTTATAAGTGAACATTTTTCTTAGATTACAAAAGAGAAACATTAATTGTAGGGAACTTAAAAACATACAGAAGATTTAGCGATCACTCAGGGCCCCCCTATTCAGATAGACTCCTAAGTTTCAGGTACATTTGAAAATAATTTCCTAGAGCAGTCATTATCCTTCACCAAGCACTATAACACAGCAGCTTTTTGGTGCACTCTTCTTAGGATTGCACACTCATCAAATATGGATGTTTTTATTACAAAACAAAACAAGAAGATTTAGAAAATATTTTGCCAATGAGAAAGGTAAAAAGGTTATTTTTTTTTTCCAATTTTAACCTTCGGTGCTTTTTGTGAGGGTCAAAGTTTGAAAAATTCTCAACAGTCCTTTTAAATTCTGTGCATATGTTTGTGTGTGGGTAAGACAGTTCATTTTAATAGTGTATGATCGAGACGGGGATTCATCTTAACAAAACGAAAATCACAAGAAAATAGGATCTGTGTAAGGAGCAGAGATTTCTATTTATATAAATAAAATTTTTCAAATTTTTTCAAATTATGAAGATGAAAAATGAAAGTCTAGGTGAGTTAAAAGTATGTAGGAGATCAATCCAAATCTCACTATTCAGAAAGAATGAGTACTTGGAGTTTGTAGTTTTTCCTTCCTTTATTATGCATTTTTATGAACATATTATGTTGTTGATTATGACACATTAATTTCTCTTTTAACTTAATTAGAAGCCCTTATTTGTATATTTAATAAATTTTATTAATAAACATTTATGTTTGACTTTTAATTACATTAAACATTCAATTTCATTAGTGCATCAAAGTTTACATAGCTATGCCAAAATTCATAATTATTTAAGATTTTCCATCTTTTTTCTTTTATGGATAATGTTGAACAAAGTCATAAATAATATAAAATGTCTCAAAGTTGCATCCTACTTATTGATAGCTTTCTCAAAGTTATTTTGCCTGTTGCAAAATGACTTTCCATGGCTGTAATCATTTGTCTTCCACTGAGCAGAACGTTGCAGTGAGTGCAGATTTTATTGCATACTTGTCAGGACTGAGTCCTCTTGAGAATTATACTTTACCAATCAGAAAATTAAAAAGGCTAACATTTGTTCATTTTAACATTTGATTATTTTTCTGATACTTCAAAAAATGCTCCACAATCCTTTTTAAAACACTCTTTGTGTTTGTGTGCATGGTGTATTCCTAATAATGTCTGAGCAAAAAAAGGCTTTATCATGACCAAAAGAAAAACAAAAACCCACAACCAAACAAACTACAAAAGAATGGGGATGTGAGGTTTCCAGCCTAACAAATGGTCAATAATGGTTCAATCTTATTTGATAACTCATGATAGTATTGTTGAGTAGTTTTCCTAAACACAAACATTTTTTTTTATCACCAAGTAGTAATTTAATTGAAAGTTTTCTGTATGAAATAGGAGAACAGGTTCTAATTCTCTTTTCATACCTGGAATATTGCTTTAAACTCACTCCTCCCATACAATGTTGGCTAAATATTAAACAGCAAGTAGAATTGGTTAACCATTATATAAGCAGTTGGGGCTGTGAAATCTAGTTATTTATTCCCCAGTGACGGCAGAAGAAGAAGCAGAACCTGCTTAGGCTGAGGAGTCACAGGCAATGAATTCCAGACATCAGTATGTGGAGCTCAATGATGGTCGCCTCATTCCTGGACTGGGCTTTGGCACCTATAAACCTCCAGAGGTAACAATGGGGTGTTGGGTTGAGGGTTCAAAAAAAAAAAAGTAGATAAAATGAACGGGATCCAATCTGGGTTGTCAGTGACTTGCTTCCTATGTGACTCTTAGTTTCTCTTTTTCTCCAGGCTAGAGCTATTCTGTGGACAGAAAAGATAATGGACAGACATGACTCTATATATCATTGTCTGATAGGTGGTCATCTATTAATATTCTGGGCCCGCCCACCACCTCCCCACATTTCAGTCCCTTTACCAACTAGGTAAAAAGATGAATGTCAGTACTTGGTTTACACTGGTACTGGTTTCTGTTTATTTTCATACTTCAGGAAATCATTTTTCCTTCCAAAAAGGCAAGTTCCAGAGACATCTGTGTAGCAAAAGGTCCTGGAAACAAGAAGCATAGCATTGATGATGGGGATTATTCCCTCTGCACTGTGAAGAAGTCTTCGGCATCTCACAGAAAATGTTGACCTTGGCTGCAAGAATTTTTCACGTGCTCTCAAGTGTGGGAAATTTTCCTGAATGTAGAATATAAAATTCTGAGAAGTTAAACTGGGAAGGGTATTTGTGAATTCCTGGTCATCCCTCATGTGTGTTGTATTGACAGGTGACCCTCTGAGCTGGAGTGAGCCAAGTTCACTAGACTGGAAAGAATTTTGTATTCAAACATCATCCTCTGACCACTTATTGTGTGACAAGGGACTAGTTTCCTGAATTTTGAATTTAAACATTTTCCTTCTGCAAGACTAAGGAAGCATCCAGAGAACAATTGTGCAGACCCATGACAGGAATTGGTTAGGTTGTAGGGCAACGTGGCATTGAAGGGGACCACTAGGGCTTTAGAGCTGCTCCAAGTGCCCTTATACCCAAGAAATTCAGGGATAGAATCAATCTAGGGCAGTAGTACCCAGAATCACTTTCATTTTGATTTCCTGGAAAAAGAAACTTCTGAAAATTTTAAAAAAGAACATGTTTGATTTGCCTTTTTATTTTTTAACAAATGAACTTTCAAATCATAGTCCAAATTTTGTAGACCATGCAATGATTGTAAATGTCACTCTTATTGTATTTTACAAAAAAAGGGATTGATTTATCTTTAAAGGCTGATGCTTATGTGAATAGCCCTTTACAAAATGAATATAATTCCTTATTTGTGAGTCTATATCCTTAGAGTATACAGTTTGTACCCGCCAGTGTTTAGTTCTGTCATATAGAGATGTGGTTGTGGGTGGGAGGTGACATAACACTGCTGTTTGTTCAAGAGCCTATTATCAGTCTGGCCCCTAGCTGGATCTGGAATATTTGATTTTTCATGTTTGCATAACAACAAGGATGTGGGCTTTCCCTAAAGGGTACAAACAGTGGAGTTTATATATGCATTGTGCCCTCAGGTTCATAGTTTTGTTGTTCCAGGGCAGTGGCTTAGGTTGCCAGAAGGCCAGAGAAAATACCTGGAGAGTGCATACAAAGTATCAGTCCTTATCTAGGAAGGTCTCTGGGGAGGGTCCAGCAGTGAGAGGCTGAACCACAGCACCTGCCTCCCTCACATGCATTGCCAAGCAGGGCTTCCTCCTCCTCAGGACATTCAGTCCAGTAAGTGCTGACTGGATGAGTGACGCTTATCCTTTCACAGTGCCCTCAGTTCCATCCCAGTCACCCATAAAGACAGTGGTTTTAACCTGAATGATTTATTTGTTCTTTTTAGTTATGCATGACAGTAGAGTCTATTTTGACATATTTTACAAACAAGGAGTATATCGTTTTCTAATTAGAAACTCAATCTTGTGTATGTACATGATGTGGTGACTCACTGTGGTGTCTTCATCCTTCATAGGAAACTTACGGCAGATTCATTCCACTGATTTTCTTATTCCTCTACCTACTCTATTCCTTTCTATCCCCATTGTTTCTCTGAACTTCTATTCTTCCTTTCTCTTGCTCCCTTGTTATTTGTTAGCACCCACATATCAAAGAGAACATTCAATCTTTGGTTTATTGGGACTGGCTTATTTCACTTAGCATGAGTGTTTCCAGTTCCATCAATTTAGTGGCAAATGTCATGAAGTAATTCTTTTTATGCCTGAGCAATATTACTTTGTTTATATTTGCTAAGTTTTCTTTATCCTATTGTCTGTTGAAGGGTACCTAGTTTGGTTCCATAGTTTAGCTATTGTGAATTGAGCTACTATAAACATGGATGTGGCTGAACCACGGTAGTATGCTGGTTTTAGCTCCTTTTCATATATATGAAGAAGCTGTATAATAGGGTCAAATGGTGGTTCCATTATTAGATTTTTGATGAGGCTCTATACTGCTTTCCAGAATAGTTACATCAATTTGGATTTCCACCAACAATGTAGAGGTGTAGATTTTTCTCTACATCCTCAGCAATATTTATTGTTACTGTATTCTAGATAGTTGCCATTCTGACTGGAGTGAGGAGAAATCTTAATGAAGTTTGAATTTGCCTTTCTCTAAATGCTAGAAATGCTGAACATTTTTTTCATATACTTGTTGTCTGTTTGTATCTCATCTTTCAAGAAGTGTCTGTTTAGTTATTATGCTCATTTATCGATTGGGGTTTGTTTTTGGTGTTAAGCTTTTTGAGTTCTTTGTATATTTTGCAAATTATCACTTTATCCGCAGTGTGGGTGGCAGAGATTTTTTGCCATTAACAATGAAAATCCCAGAAAAGGGAATTTGAGGTTTTTACCGCAAGCACAGCACTAACACAAGACATGGGTAAATTTGAGTTTTGTGAGGTAATTCCTTCTGCCCATGACTTTCAAAATAACTCTTTGGCAATTTCTTCAATTCTTACAGAAGAGAAAAATGGACATTCAAGCTTCTGTGGACTAGTCCCTTATCACATAATTAGGGTGTCTGAAGAAAACATTGGAATTTAAAATTCCTTCAGTCTAATCAATTGCCCACTTTCTTACTATAAGTAAGAAATCATTAATAATATGATTCTCCAAATACTTTTTTTTCTTTGTTCCTGTAGGTTCCTAATAGTAAAACAACAGAGGCCACCAAAATAGCTATAGAAACTGGGTACCGCCATATTGATTGTGCTTATGCATATCAAGTAGAAGAGGAGGTAGGACTGGCCGTTAGAAGCAAGATTGCAGATGGCACTGTGAAGAGAGAAGACATATTCTGTACTTCAAAGGTATTGTGTATACAGTGCAAAAATTATTGAAATAGATATGAAGAAATGAAAATTAGCTGATGAGTTATTGGTGGAATGTGAATATTGTACAATGTTCATTCACATATAATATCCATTTTCAAAATAGAGAATGGTTATGAATTGCTACTCACAGTCTACAAATTATGACTTTTAATTTTCTATACTTTTCTGATTCTAGAATCAGCAGAATGATTTAGTATTAGCTGTAGAATCAGATAGAATTATGACCAGATTATGTTTTCGTTTTCTCCATGATGACGTTCTAAAATTTCTTATGATTCTGAATATCAAGTTTAACATTTGTTTTTGTCAAAGATAATTTTGTAGGGGGAGTAAAGAATATGTAGCTAAAGTGTCTTGATTTTTGTTTACCGTATATTAAAATGTTCAAAACGTGTTTCCCTTCAGTTCTTTAAATTAAAAAAATTCTTGTGAAATAAATGGATGAAATGGACTAATAATAGGTTTACAATCTCTATGAAACACAATAAAGAGATTCAATAATGTTAGTATTTGATAAAAATAATATCTTTTGAGTATTTACTTCCATAGTTTGATTGATTGGCTAATAATAACCAAAAATATTATCCCATTCACATGCATAGGCGAGATGAATGGAAACCCAAGACCTGAAGAGAATATCTTCCCTGTGATCAACAGTTTCCAATCAACAGACAAATGAATGTCTCAATATGAAGTTAAAAAATTTCCCAAATATGAGTCATGTATTAATACAGTCCAATTTTCTTTCTTTAACCATTGCAGCTATGGTGCACTTTTCATCGACCAGAGCTGGTGCAATCTTCTTTGGAAAGATCACTGAAAAAATTTCATTTTGACTATGTTGACCTGTATTTGATTCATTACCCGTTTTCAATGAAGGTAATCAATTTGCATCATCAAACCAATTCAATTCCAGCCATTCCTAAGACCATCATTACCAAGGATGGTTGAATTAAGCTTCTATGTAAAATTATATAAACCTAATTTATATGAATTATAGAAAGTCGAAACCATTTAGATTTGTGATTAGAAGTAATCTTCAGAAACATCTCTGTTTATTCATCCATTATATCTGCATTACCAGAGGTTTGCTTGGTTTTCTTTTACCTTTTTCATTGGTGGTAAATGTGACTTTGGGGCAGTTCAAGCTTCATAGTCATTAATATTTGATAGGGTCTCTTCATCTTCCAGCATCAAATCAATCTTGAATAGAAACTTGAATGATCATCTTAAATACACATACATATTCATGGACACACATGTGTCCAGGTAGATAAGGAATATTGTTTAACCTGTGTCATCACTGAAATTCACTATTGCTGTGATTAATTGCATGCAAGCATGTACCCTCCCAGTGAAAGAGAGGAATTAACACAGGGCAATGTATAGGGACAGGAAAAGTAACATAAGCCAAGTAGGAGACTCCATGAGGAGAACTGCAAAAATCTTTTAAAATTATATATATATATATATATATACACATACATACATATAGATAATTTGATGTAAGAGAATACAGGAAGATAAGCACCTAATGGTTCATGGGTTTGAATGTTCCATTCCATAAATATACCTAGCATCATTGCTATACATGGACATATGAATTTGGCAAGATTGCTGTGATGATCACTTCTATTCCAGCCAGGGGAAGAGCTTTTTCCAAAAGATGAAAATGGAAAAACAATATATGACCATGTGGATCTCTGTGCTGTGTGGGAGGTGAGTGCCTGAGAGAGTGATCACATAGGAGGACCACAGGGTGACAGTCAGGTCATGCTTTCTCCTGAAATTGTGGGACAAGAAATCATTATATTTTAGAGAGGATTTTTCTTAGGGTGGTGGGGAGGAATGAATTACTTGAATATAGTAGAGGGAAACAGCAGAGAAAAATGGAGACAGTGAGAAGTGCACCACCCACCTGCAGTGATGTCTGATTTCCCAAGGACACAGGGATTCCTTTTCCGGCTCTCAGTACTGTGCCCAATTATCTTTACCATCTTTCTCTTGTTAATAATCAGTTCATCAGCTTTGTTGTCATTTCTTGAAAAGTGCTCCTATTAACTTTTCTGTCTGGACTTTATACTGATATAGTCCATTGTACAAATGCCTCTTCCCAACCTCTTCCTCCCAAGGCCATGGAGAAGTGCAAGGATGCAGGATTGGCCAAGTCCATCGGGGTGTCCAACTTTAACCGCAGGCAGCTGGAGATGATCCTGAATAAACCAGGCCTCAAGTATAAGCCTGTCTGCAACCAGGTGAGAGCCCTTATCCTCACTGCCATCTCATTTCTTTCCTTGTTTCTGCACCACCTCCAAGTGTCCATTTCTTCTGTCCCCCAGCTCATTTGTCTTTGTAGAACAGAAGAGTCTAAGACTGTCTTGGAGGGTGTGGAAGGTTCTCAATTGTACCTGTGCTGGGTGAATCCTTAGTGAAAATGAGGGGACGCATCTTGGTGCCCAGTTTTTGTAGGAATTTGGTGATGTACAGGTGATGAGGAGAGTTGTTCTTTATCTGACTTCAGGGACATGGTGAGCTTGTCCTTGAGCATTGGAGGATGACCAGAGACTGGATGGGTGAATGTGTAGTGGCAGGAATTGTGGGTAGGAAAGAGGTCCAGTGCACAGGAATGGGCAGTGAGAAAGAAAGAGTGAAAACAGAAGATCAATGATCAGGTTTTGTGTGGAGGTCAGGAGCCTGAATCCTTTTTATGGCTTATTTCAGTTTTATGAATCCAGAAGCATTAATTAGGAAAAACAGCAGAGCTCATGAAAGTAACAGGACTGAGAGGAACTTACTTGTTTATAGTGATTCTGATGGTGGATCAAATTCACATTCAGGAACTTTAACCAGAATATACAGTTGGCCCTGAGCCTAAGCCCTTCTATCTTTCTTTCTTCCATGCTTTCTGATATCAAATCAACTGTTTAATTACATCTATTCTGGGCATGGTTATTTGTATGTTGTTGGAAAACAGAGACCATAAATTTAAAATATAATTGCTAATAATTGAAAATAATTTTGTATTAATTTATCTTAATTTTTTATCATGAAATTTTTCAAACATACAGAAACTGAGAGCATGATATAGGACATTCATATATTCTACCTTGTATCTAAAATTGTTGACTTTGGGAAACACTGTGAGATGTAGATTTTTGTGGATATATCTGCATACACCTCAGTAATATTTTGCTAAATTTCTTTAAAGTGTATTGTAGACTAGACTACTAACTCTTAGAGAACTCAGGGAACATTTCCTAGGAATGAAGATCGTATCTCACACAGCACATTTCATTACTATGCGTAAAGTTATTTGTAAGTCTCTCATACCATCTAAATCCAGTCTGTGTTCACGTTTCCCATTGGTTTTCTGAAATATCTTGTATTCTTCTTCCCCTTTCCAGGATGCCACTCTCGTTCACATGTTGCTCTCTGTCATGTTTCTTAAGCTCTTTTCACGCAGAATGGTCAGTCACCCAGTGCTTTTCCATATAATGGTTGAACCAGGGTCTTTTTCCTAAACTGTCTTATTGTATCAGTGAACTTGTTCTTCTAGTCCCATTTGCAGTCAGTTAGGAGTTAGACTTGAATTCTTTTTTACAAATCAAGGGCCTAGTATAGTGGCCCTCGGTTACCAGTTTTTGCATCACACTAGAAAAATTGCAAACATGTGGCTCAGACTTGCAGGCATGAATTTACTACAAAGGATAAGAAAATGGCAAAATATGAAACTCTTAATCAAGAGAGTAAGTCTCTCAGAAAGGAGGGGGACGGGACAGCAGGCCCACCCTGGCTTCCAGTTTTCTAGGGAGTCTCTTGGGAGTTTTGTAGTCCTTCCCACCTTCACATTCTAGACCGTTGGCTGACAGTAGGGTGGTTTCAGATTTCCAAGTTTCCATTGTTCATGTTCTTGACCGCAGAGGGGAGATTTTCAAGTCTGGGTCACTTTGTCCCACCCTGACTGGTTCTAATTAGAATTTGTTCTTATATATTATAATTATGGAGAATTATTCTAAGCTCCTTGAGATATGGACTAGGGATTATAGGTTTTGATGAAAAATTTTACCCAAATGTTACCTGCAGAATATCTATCAAATGTCTTTCAAACTTATTCTCATGAGTCATTGGTCAATCTTGGTTAATGGCAAAATTTAAAGTCCAAGTTTCAATATTTTAAAAAATTCAGCTTTTTTCTTCATTGGCATTTTGTTTTCATATTAATATTAACATTTTGTAGAATGAGATACTTTCTGTCTTGTCCACCTCAGGTAGAATGTCATGTTTATCACAACCAGAGGAAATTGCTGGACTTCTGCAAATCAAAAAACATTGTTCTGGTTGCCTATGGTGCTCTTGGAACTCAACGAGACAAACAATGGTAATGAGAACATCAAGGAGTTTACCTCAAATGTCCTATAAGACTTAGATTTTGGAAGATCACTCTCAAGTATCTCAGGGACAGGAGAGAATTTGCACTTCTGAAAAGGGCCCATAAATCACTGATGCTACAGGGCCAGGGTCTGCATTTGAGGATGCCTATTTAGAGTGGTCCAAATAGACCTCAGTATGTTTTGTGAGTGGGTGTAATGGTGCTTGCCTGTCATTGCAGTTTCTGGGGAAGCTGAGGCAGAAAGATTGTAAACTTGAGGCCAGCCTCAGAAACTTAGTAAGACCCTGTGTCAAAAATAAAAAGGGGTAAGCATTTGCCTCTCTGGCAAAATGCTTTTTGATTCAACCTTAGTAATTACCCTTAAACACCGCTCTCCCCACTACATACACATACACATACCAACAAACAAACAAACAAACAAAACCCCAGAAATAAATGAAATCCTCCTAACTACTTGACCTCAGGACTTTAGCATTTATTTCTTCTCTTCCAGGGTTGACCAGAGCTCCCCAGTTCTCTTGGATGATCCTGTTCTTGGTGCCTTGGCAAAAAAGCACAAGCGATCCCCAGCCCTGATTGCCCTCCGCTACCAGCTGCAGCGAGGGGTTGTGGTTCTGGCCCAGAGTTTGAAGGAGAATGAAATAAAAGAGAACATTCAGGTAGAAAGGAGGGCTGTGGGAATGTGGGTTCTTTACATTTATACTTCTTTGAAACTTGTAAGGATCTTATTGGGACCAGTCAATATCAGCAGCATGTCCTCTGCATGTAAGATTTCAGGTGCTTTCAGAGTGTGTTCTTTTACTCTACAATGGGACAGACAGTGCAACTGGATAGCATTAGGTTGGATAAAGCACAGAGATTTGGTTTCAGCATTAGGAGCCAGGTATTGTGTAATTCTTGCAAGTAACATCTTTGTAAATTTTTTAATTTTCCAAAATGAGAGTTTGGATTGGGTGACTTTTATTCCTCAAATTATTATTTTTTTTACACTTCCCCAAATACTCAATCTATTTTAATATTCATATATTTATTCAATTTGAGTTTTTTTCACTTGTCACCTGTCAGTTTATGTATTACCCATTTAGATGGGTTGTTCATCTTTTTATTCTCAAGTAGGAGAACTTTTTTGAATCATTACTTAGAGTAGATGCGAAACAAACCACCCATAATATTGAGGTTAGTGCAAAAAACACTTGTTTATCTCATAATCCTATGTTTGACTATTAGCCTCGGATCAACCTGAATTCAGTGAATGTCGTACAGTTACACTGGATTTTCAAAAATTTGTAAGAGATTCTCATATGAATCCGCAGAACATGTGGTGCCACTGCTTCAGTCCTGCTTGCTTTGTTGTCTGGGGTGTCTGAGCTCTGATCCATAGAAATTCACATATACCAGTTGATGACACAGACTTTATCTCATCACATAGCACTGTCCCCAGGCAGTGAATGGATCCTTGCAGAGCCTTCTGATGCCTGGGTAGGCTCACAATGGGCACATCACTGCTTCTGTCACGTTCTATTGGCCAATGCAAATTATAAACCATACAAGACTCAATGGGTAGGGAATAAACAGAGTCTCTTAGTGAAAAAAGCTGCAAATTCACATAGGAGTTTAGATACTGGGAGGTGTGAATTATTGGGGAAGCATTTTTGCAAACAATTAACCACATTTATGTATTCTGAATATTGTTTTTCAGATACAGATATATTTGTTGAAATATGTTCTCCAAATTCTCCTTGTGTTTTTTTTTTTTTTCCTTTTGGTATACTTTCATGAACAATGTTAATTCTCTTGTTGTTTTCGTGTCTTTACTTTGTGGTTGATGAGTGGCATATTTTTCTTACATTGGGAACTGAACAGTCCTTTAGTACATTACTTTACAAAAGTCTTATAGTCCTTAACTCCATATTTATCTCAATTGCAGGGTTTTTTTTTAAAAAAATGTTTCTTTACAAAAAATCCAAATGCACACATAATTTTAAAATGACTAGCTAAATTTCCCAGTAACAGGAATTACTTTTCCAGCTACTTTTCTGTCATCGGTTGTCTTATTTGCTCTTTTTCATAATCTTAATTATCATGGAAAATCAGTCTTTTTGTCCTACATCACAGAACATTTGCTATCTCTTCACTCATTTATAAATATCTTGGCTATTGTAGATTGACCTATTATAAAGAATTTAGAAGCACTTTATCAATCTCTTCCCAGATTGTTGTTGTTTGCTTGATATTGCACTGGAACTCTCACTAAATTTGGAGAGAAAAGTACTTTAAAATATTAAAGATTCCAATCCATGATTATGATATGAGTTTCCAATATTCAGCTAGTTTTTTTAACATATTGCATCAGAATTCTAATGGAAGATTTTTATTTCACTGTCAAATCTGAAGCTTAATTTTCCTGGTTATAGTACTCTTAGCTGTTATCCATTTTCTCTCAGAGCTTGATATCTATTATTGTATGACCTCCTAGCTGTCAGGGTCTAGGTTGGGAAATCAACTGAGATCCTGATTTATGTTTCTCTAAACATGACCTGTCATTTTTTTTCTGGAAGTCTTTAAAATTTTTATTCTGTATTTCAGGTATATTTATAATAATGTGCCTTTGTGTGGGTCTGTTGTAATTTTGTATATTTGGCGTCTCGTAAGGCTCCTGTATAGATTTCGATTCTCATTCTTTAGGTTTGGGAAATTTTCTGATATTATTTCATTGAAAAGATTGTGTATCTCTGAGCCTTCATCTATACCAGTGAATCTTAATTTTGGATTTTTCAGGTTATCTCATATTTCTTGGGAATTCTGTCATAGTCTCTTAACATCTTTTCTCCATGATTAATTTTATTTTTAAAATTACATATTTAGTCTTCATTGCCTGAAACTATTTTCTAAGTGGTCAAGTCTGTTGGTAATGTTCCCTGTTGAATTTTTAATTTGGTTTATTGATTCCTTCATTTCAAGAATTTCTCCTTGATCTTTTTTTTCAGAATTTTTGTCTCTTTATTGGAGTGATCTTTCACTTGTATTTTTTCTCTGATTTCACTGCTTACATCATACTTTACTTGTTATATCAGTTTAACTACACACATTTTAAACTCCTTCTTTAAGATTTCTGGTTTGGGGCTGGGAATGTGGCTCAAGTGGTAATGTGCTCTCCTGGCATGCATGGGGCTCTGGGTTCGATCCTCAGCACCACATAAAAATAAAATAAAGATATTGTGTCCACCGAAAACTGAAAAACAAATATTAAAAAAATTCTCTCTCTCTCTCTTTTCTCTCTCTCTCTCTCTTAAAAAAAGATTTCTGGTTTTGATGGATTTTGTTACTGGTGTATCTTCCTTTGTTTGGGGCAGTATCTTACCTTGCCTTTTCATGTTTTTTGTGTGTCTACACATATAATGGTATGGATCTGAGATAGTAGAGTTTCTATTCTGTAGACTTATAGTGTCCCTGAAGATTTCCAGCACTTAACCATTTAGGTAGAGAGAAAGAATAATAACAAGCAATTAAATGATATACAGCATTAATCCAAATATTTATTGTTTTGACATCTACAATGTTGTCAATGTAAAGACAAATAAAATGCACAGTTATTGCATACAATAAAAACAGTAAGTTTGCTACAGTGTTTACAATTTCAAAGGGTGGAAAGGGAGAGAACAGAGGTGATGTAGGATGTGATGACTATGAGGAAAGAGGAGAGAAGATAGAATAAAAAATTAAAAGAAGTGCAAAAGAGAGAACAATAGAGATTGGCCATTAGCAGAGGAAAAGGAAGAATGATAGTCAAGGGAAATAGATAAGTGAGAAAGAAAAAAAAATTAAAAATTTGAAAAATTAATAATGAAAAATAAAAATAAAATAATACAAAACAAAACTGAAATATACTAATCAAGCATCCTAGTCCTCATAAAACCTGATTCTTGAAAAATAATGGGTTCTAAAAATGCTATAAATTAGAAACAAAACCAAATATGAATATATACAAATGTCCATGAAACATTAAGGTCACATTTGAACAGAAAAATGAAAAAAGGAAAAAAAATCTCAAAAATTAAAGAATTATTTCTGTTGGAGTTCAAAGGATTCTCAGCTTCCTTTCTCAGTACTTAGGTGGGGTTGTTTGGATAATGATATTTGCTTCACCCTCAGGGTGGTGTTGCTAGGGTGAGATAGGGATTCTCAGAGGTGGAACACTTGGAGGCAGGGCTGATGCTTAGCTAGGCTCCAGACTCTTCACTGCATGGCATTGGCCTGGAGATTGCAAATCACCCTCCCTATAGGGCCTAGCATTTGCTGGTCCATGCTGAAAGACTGCACTCCAGTGATCTCCCCTTGGGCTCCACTCATGTTGTGAAAGAGTCAAATTTTAATCCACTATATCATCTGGGGACTGCATGGTTCCTGATCTTGGGTTTAGTCTCCAAACTGAATCTCTCCATCTCCCACCCTTTCCAATTCCTAGCCCGGTGAGTCTCTCCCAGCTGGTCCTGGAAGCAAGCAAGATCTCAGTGGGAGGGGCGAGCTAGGAGGGTTTTCACAACCAGTTGTCCCCTGTGTAAAGCTCTCTCCACAATAGATTTTCTCCTGGTTACTTAGGCTTACTTTATCTTGTGCGTGTGGGTTTGCTAGGCCTGTAGTTAGGCCAGACTTGGATTTGCCAGGAATCAGGTCCCTCAACTGCCGGCTCCCTGCACTACTGCTGCAAAATGATTTATTCTTTCATCCTCCACACACCACCTTGAGAGATGTGATTTCCTCCTTCCCAGACAAAGATAAAAATATGGATTCCATTAATTCCTTTATCCTCTGTGCTCATGGAGAGATCAATCTGGCTGGTAACTCCAGCTGTGGCAGTAGCTGTGGTGCTGGGGATTTATTCCTGATTTGGTTAGTCTAACTTAATGAGTACACAATATGTTTTGAGTGTCCAATATGAAATTCCAGAAAAGTTACCCCTTATTTCGTTTGTTCACCCACCTTGCTGAGAAACTGCTTGTCTGGTTTTATGCCACTGAGCAGCCAGGAAATTGACTTTATATCAGCCAACTTGAAACCTCTTCAGTAAACTTCTCCATGAAGGCCTTTGTATATATTCTGTTTCATTTTGAGAATTTCCAAATGCACAGAAAAGTTCAAAGAATTCTGTTAGTTCCATTTACCTCATTCATCAATTGTTAAATTATAAACATTTTACTCTTGCCATTTTTGAGGAAATTACATATGATTTAAATATCCATTTGTTTAGGCATGTTAGCAATTTGTGAAAACTGTTTTCATGCTTAAAATGTCTCAGTTTTAGACAAAGTGATCCTCTTTCTACCACCTCGTTTGACTTTATTAACCGAATTAACAGGATATAATTAGTACTTTAAGAATTCCTGACTTAAAAATTGTTGAACAAAAATCATTATTGGAGTTTGAAGTTTCCACTGATGCGATATAGAAACTGACCTGTAGCTGGGCAAATGGCACATGCCTATGATCCCAGCAGCTCAGGAGGCTGAGGCAAGAAGATGGAGAGTTCAAAGAAGCCTCAGCAAAAGCAAGGTGCTAACCAATGGAGTGAGACCCTATCTTTAAATAAATACAAAATAGGGGTGGGGATGTGACTCAGTATTTCAGTACCCTTGAGTTCATACCCTGGTACCTTCCTATCTCTCCCCCTCAAAAGAAAGAAATCAAAGAGTATCCTTGGAAATTATTGAATCATCTTACATATTTCAAAATGTTGCCTCTAGCTTTTTCTGAGTCTTTTAAGTACCTGACACCGTAATCTTGGTATAACATTAGCCTTATTTGCTACAGCTCCTGCTTAATGATCTCTCTTTGTCTGTTGTTGGTACAGTTTTACTACATTATGCATTAGAAGTGATTTCTTTTTAACTTTCAACTGATACTTATTGACCATTTGAGCCTTTTGCTTCATGTCTTTAATAAGTTTTGGAATAAACTTCTCAGGTATTTTAAATGTTTCTGCAGTTATCTGATTTCATTGGACTTCCAGGATTGGCAACACACAGTCCACCTATGTTAAATACTTTTTACTTGTGTGATAGGTTTTTGATTTCGAGTTGACTGCAGAAGACATGAAAGAACTAGATGGCCTGAACAGAAATTATCGATACCTTGCTGCTGAGTTGTAAGTAATGTTGGTTGACGTGTGGCCACTGTTTGTTTTAGTTTCAAGTCTTTCCCTCTCATTCAATGGAGTTTTGATCAAACCTCAGACACTGATGTGGTTGACAAATGGCATCTGTGGAGGCCGTTGGGAGAACATTTGGTTTTGAGATTGAAAATGGAGACATCTCAATGCAGAGGATTAAGTCATTTTTGAAAAGAGAGATTCAAAAGCAAGGGAAAAGTGTGCAGAGAAATCATTTGAAGAGAATTATAGTCATGTAAAAATTTTTACTCCTTCTTGATTCTTTATGGTTATAGAGTCTGACAATGCACATATGTTATAAGTGAGGGTAAACAAGGAATATATGTCCCTTCTGCCTGAGGGAATGCTAATTTATAATAGAAATTGATGTGATGACATGTGAGAGGGGATTATATAATCAATTATGATATGTCCTTAAAAACTGGAAGCTATATTTTATAATTTCTAATATATTGTTAATATAAATTATAAAAAGGAAAAGGAGGAACATAATGTCAAGAGACAGTAGCAAGCAATTGGCAATTCTTGCTCCCTATTAAATATTTCTGGAAGTAATGGTTTTCTGTTGTATTGTTACTAAAGTACAGAGATGTAAATATTATATAGTGAGCTCCAGGGGTTTGCACGTCTACTTTATAAACAACATCCTTTCCATGTCTGAATGTAGCACCATGTCATGTGTGATCAGCAGTGAGCAAATAATTAATGAATTAGTGAAATGGAAGTTAAATTGCTAGCAAAATACTCTACCCTAAAATAGTTTTTGTATTGGTCAATATCTAAACCTGTTTTTATACTAAAGATGGTATAAATGGATGTGTCCTCCTCTACAAATATGTATCCACGGTGCAATCTTTATCTGTTTTTACTGAAAAGAAGAAATAAGGAAAGATATCTTTGTTTGATACAGCTAAGGGAGATGAATTAATATGAGTGAATTCTTGTCTCAGTGAGTTCTTTGTGTGCTGTTCTAGAAAAGGGAATAGAATTTGAATAATTTAGTTACCTTTCTGATAAAGCTATATTCAGGAAAGTAGGAAAGGCCGATTTCACAACCACTCAGGAAATATAATGGAGTTCGTAGATGTCACTTCTTTATCCCTGTAAAAATGGTGTCACTGAGTCTGTTATACATTTTTGATTCTCATTTTAGTGGGGCTGATCATCCGAATTATCCATTTGCTGATGAATATTAATGTGGACACCTTTGTCATGACTTCTACTGGTATCCTCCGTGTGGGTCGTGATGCAGGAGACAACTCAGATGCTACTGATTGGACACATCACTTCTATTGTTAACCCATGTGTCTTAGCAAGTCACATTCTGCTTGGAGCAATCTTCACCAGTCCAGTAAGGAAGACACTAAAATTTTCATCAATTTTTGAAAAAAATAAAGTTGTTTATCTCAAGATTCTACATTCACTCTATTATATTTATGATTACTTTCTTTTTGAGTGATTATGAACAAAAACTATTTGGGCTACTAGCTTGTAAGCAGGGGTTTGTTGATGTTAACACATTTCTGGGGAAGCAGAATATAAGAGTTCTCAGGATCCAAGGAAGTTGCAATTGGTATTTATTTTTCAGTGTTTCTCTAGCCCAGGGAATAATCAGAAAACAGAATACATTCAGATAATGGTTCACGGTCTGCAAGATGAAGCACATAGGGCCAGCATAAGCATCAAGGTCAAGGGCTCCCTTCCTGCAGCTTGAGGACCAGAGCTCCTGAAAACTAGGGAATAAGGTTCACTTTTCAGATGGTTGTCAAGGAGGTGAGAGGAAAAGCGGCCTGGAAAAAGTGTGAGGGGTCAGATGGGCCAAGGTTGAAGTGAGCAGAGTGGAATACTTCTCTTCTTGAGAACTATGATAAAAATTCTTTGTTTCTAGCACATTATAATTATTCATAGTAGTGAGATTCATGATGCCAAATTCACTCATACATCTAACATTTGATCAGTCTCATATCTCAATGACTTCCCTTCATGTCCTCCTCCTCCCCATGATCTGCTTGCTCTACTCTCCTGATCTTCCTACTATTATTATAACTTACTTAATGTGATGTATATGAACTTGTATATATTAGATGATTTGATTTTATTCATATACAGTGGTTTATACATACCTGGAAATAGCATAATAGGGTAGATTTTATCCCCCAGTTACTTTCCTATGCCTTTTCCCCCACCCTCCTTTCTCTTAATTCCTTTCCTCTACTCTGTTGTTTTCCTTCCACCAAATGTTTTTTTTTTGATAATAATACTCTACAGATTAAAAAAAAACATTTTGTGTACTTTATCAAATACCTTAGCTGGATTTTTGATTAGCATTAGAAGAAAAACTGAAACAGCCTTAATTACAATATGTTTGGAAATATTTATGTCAAATGAGATGCATTCATAGAAAGGAATCTCATAAATCACTTGAAAATTTAGAATATAGAGTGATGTGAGAAAATGTTGGACTAGTAAAGCTCCAGTTTCTCCCATAGAAATATCAAGAAACCATTAGATTCTGGGGAATGAACAGTTTACACGTTTGTAAACAGTCAGTTGTCTAAAGCACCAAAGAAAGCATGCAATGAAGAAAAAGAGATTCACAATGGCAGACGATTTAAGTGTGGTTTTGCCTTCCATTGCCAAAGCTGTGTCACACAGAATGGTCTTGGTCTTTAGGTAGTGTCGACAGGGCTATCAACTTCTTTCCTCAAAGCAAATTAACTCTACTACAAGTCACTGCATCTTATCTGGTCACAGACTTTGGAAGATACCAGTTAGCAAAGCTGTACTTATCATCTCTAAGACACCTTGCCTTGGCATGCAGTGTAACCTCAAAAACGGTTGCTGAAATTGGACAACACACCTCAGCAGATCAGAGAGGCGACTTGTTTCTCAAAGTGCAGCAAACATACCATATCTCTTAGACAGGTTTACTCCCACAACAAAAAGGCCAGAGGAAGAATACCTCTGGGTATTGTTCATAGGAGTCTAGAAGTTCTCCCATCCACTCTTGGACCTTCCCTCTTCCCTGTGTTGACATCTTTAGGCTGGGAGCAGAGCACCCAGCACAGCAGCACAATATCCAATTTAGGAAAAGGAGACAGCTCTTATTAAAATTGCCTTCTTAAACCAGAGGGATACTTGCAGAGAAGCCTCTAGCAGGATCCATCTCATGTGGCATTGACTAGGACTGGGTCACGCTCCCTTTGAAACAGTGATCACATGTTAATGCCAATGGAATTAACATGACTGACTCACAAATAATCTGGGTGAAAGAGATGTTGGAGAGAACACCACTCAGTCACTGAAGTCATAATGAAAGACAAATGATTTATTTAGGTTTCATTTTTTTCCCCAGTGTTGCCTAGACTTTGAATTGCTTGGGAAACTTAAAATCTTGTGATAGCTTAAGTTGTAATTCAACCAAATGTGTATGAGTCTCTTGGTTGAAGACTTAGGTTTAAGTGAATTGGTCTATATAAATAGACATGAAATGGTTATTTCTCATTATAGACATGTTTCTCCCAGATAGTTGGTACAAGGACAGATCAATAGGTGAACAGGACAGGCCTCACCCAGCAGTAGGTCTGTTACGGGAGAAATGTAAGAGAGTGAGAAGAGTTTTCCAACTTCCATTTACTCTATTATTTTGTTTTCTAAATTTTTAAATTTGTTTTAATGAGTTATAGATGACATTATAATGCATTTATGCACCTTGATATATCATACGTAGATGGGATATAATTTCTTATTTTTCTGAGTATACATGTTGCAGAATCATATCGGTCATGCAGTCACATATATACATACAGTAATGATGTTTGTTTCATTCTTCTAACTTTCCTATCTTCACATCACCTAACCTCCCCTCCCATCACTCCCCCTACCTAATCTAAGGTAACACTATTCTTCCCTAGTGCCCCCGGCTTTATTGTGAATTAGAATCCGCATATTAGAGAAAACATTTGGCCTTTTGTTTTGTGGGATTGGCTTATTTCGCTTAGCATGATATTCTCCAGCTCCAATCATTTACTGGCAAATGCCATAATTTCACTCTTCTTTAAAGCTGAGTAATATTCCATTGAGTATATATAACCACATTTTCTTAACCCGATCAATAAATGGGCTAAGGAACTGAACAGACACTTCACAGAAGAAGGAATACAATTGGTCAACAAGTATATGAAAAAGTGTTCAACATCTCTATCAATTAGAGAAATGCAAATGCAAATCAAAACTACTGTAAGATTTTATCTCATTCCTGTCAGAATGGCAATTATCAAGAAACAGGCAACAATAAATGTTAACGAGGATGTGGTGAAAAAGGTACACTCATACATTGCTGGTGGGACAGCAAATTGGTGCAACCACTGTGGAAAGCAGTATGGAGATCCCTCAGAAAAATGGGAATGGAACCACCATATGACCCAGCTATCTCACTCTTTGGTTTATACCCAAAGGACTTAAAAATCAGCATACTATAGTGACACAGCCACATCAATGTTTATAGCAGCTCAAATCACAATACCTAGACTATGGAGCCAACCTAGGTGTCCTTCAATAGATGAATATTATTTAACACAATGTTAACACTTCAGATTGTATGAGAACTTCTCAGAGGAAAGAAGAGAGACCCAATGACTGTTGTAATTCAGATGGGTCACAAATTGATGCATGGAAGCCACAGAGCAAGCAACCTGCTTAACATGGCATGGTTACAGTTAAGATTTTACCTAAGTTACCCCAAGTGTATTCTAGGCATGAGTAGAAATTCTTAGGAAAAAGTCAAACAACTGGGGAGCTTCTGGTGTCTGCATGAAGAAGGACAGGTGGTGTCACATATCTAGGACAGAAATTTAAACTAAGAGAATGAAAGGAGTGTACCAAGAAGTGGGTAAGGTAACAAAGTCAAGATGATGGCAGCCAGAGAGGATTGCATTTTTACAGACGTGGTTTTCTTTTATTTTTTTTTTTATCACAATGTCTCAGGCAAGAGGAATGCTGGGCTGTGTATGATAACTCTGCCTTCCCCATAGTGTGAATATTTCAACACTGGCTGTTTTACTCTATTACTCAATTCCTGGAGGGGAAGAATTAATAAAAAAAAAATTAAAAGGAGCTTGAGCTGAAAGCCAGGATCCTGCAGCTTAATCAGTTATTTTCGTTTTTTAATGAGGGTGACTATTGTGAAATAACTAATTATTAATTACTCAAAACTAATGAAATATTTTAGTTTCCTTGCCCAAAAAACTTATGGAAGCTAAAAGAAAGTATATGGGTGTTTTTTGGGAAGCATATTGGTGGATGGACAAATTACAGTGGTGCCAATATGCCTTTGCTTTCTGGCTATGGCCATCGCTATGTGTGCTGGCATCTCAGTCTTCATGTGTTTGGAGAGAATTTTTTTTTACAAAATTCCTATCTGATGTGTGCCTTGGGTTGCCTCTAGAGTTCCACAGCTCTGCCTCATAAATCTTTCTACCATGCTTGTGCTCAGACATTCCCACGTGAGTGTCTACTCAGTATAAAACCTTTGCTATTAGTAACTATCATGGATCTTTCTTCCAGATGTCTTTTTTCTTCTGTAGTGGACAGAATGGGCCTGTCCAGCTGAAGTTAGAGTCCATCTATGCAGTGGTAAAAGCGGAATCCTAAGAGAAAGAAGAACTAGGACCTCCTTGCTTCATCAGGAACTCTGTGCAGCCCACCCCTGAAGCTCCATGTGCAGATATCTTTCTTGTAAAATTGGAATGATGATGCCAGGGCTCCTTAGTTCACGGGCATGGCTGTTTATCCAATTTGTAGTCCATCCCCTTTGTTCATCTTCTTCTTTCCTTTACATCCCTTATCTTCTTCTGTGTATTTGGTCAGTCTGATGAAAAGCTTGATGGATTTGAAGGTGATTGAAATGACTTGAAATGATACAGACGTGGTTTTCACTTGGAGTCTGAGATGGAAGATTTGTGTTTCTAGACATCATGATGTAGATATTGAAGGTCTCTATGAAAAAGCAGAAAGATCTTCAATAAATGACCTAGTACTACACTTTCCCATAATACCTATATATTATATCAATATTCCTAATAGAATCATTAGGAAACCAATTGTCTATTGCCCCCAAATTATCGATCTGCATCAATTTCATCAAACTTTCAAACAAGTTGAGTTAAATTTTCTATTTCTTACAACTGAACTGAAAACATCAGAACTTATCAATTTTCAGTACTACACTCTTCAACATCTTATGCAACAAAAATAAAAGCAGCTTGTGCCTTTTTGGTTATTGATCTGTGTAATGTCAAACATTGTTCTCATCTGGAGTTATAAGCTTTCATAAACTTAATATTTTCTTGTTGTTGGATATTTACATTTCTGACAGAAAACTTCCATAGTATGGAGAATAAGAAAAAAAGCCTGCTA